TCAAGCAGACCCACATTTTAAGAGAGATGGGAATGGTTTAGCTTTTTTTAGAGCAAAGTTTTAGTTGACTTGTGTGCTCTGTCACAGTGGCTGTTTCTCTTCTTGCTTTTCAGACAAGGAGAAGTGAAAAAGAAGAAGAAGAAAAAGAAGGGTAAGTTGCATTTTATAGCTGTTGACCTGGCACAGCTGCAGTGAGCTCACCAGATTGTTTGTTCAAATATCCAGCCTTAAGCTCCCCAGGAGCTGGAACTCTTTGCTGGGACTGGGTCTCTGAACCGAGATCTTAATGATAGCTTGTTGGGATGGGGCATTTTTTCATGGAACTGAGGGTAACATCCTGGTAGGATTATGTGGATTGCTGGGCTCTTGTTGATTCCTGGCTACTGACATCCTATGTGTATGCCTTGATGATGCCTCTAATGTCCCTGCACTGGATATTCTGCAGGAAAGCTGCCTAAGAACTATGACCCCAAAGTGACTCCTGACCCTGAGCGGTGGCTTCCAATGCGAGAGCGTTCCTACTATCGTGGACGGAAGAAGGGGAAGAAGAAGGATCAGGTTGGCAAGGGCACTCAGGGTTCAACCACAGCTGGCTCCTCTGAACTGTAAGTACCCATTTTGCAGGGCTTGCAGTCTCTTGGGTGGCTGGGGAGACTGGGTTTGTACTGGTCTTCTCTGACTCTCTCACCGTGCCAGCCGTGGGTAGCAGAAGTTAAACTGTACTTTGGTGCTTGCACCTTCTACCACCTGCTCTTCCAGAAGATCCCCATAGTCTTTCATTGTGTTTTTTGCATGGATTTTGCATGCTTTCTCTTGAGCTATTTGTTTTCAAGTCTTTTGGTGGCTGGAGAACCATTAGCCATTATTTGGGAAATCGCTGTACGTCATTCTAAGTTGAAACTGATTATTTGAGCTGGAATTGGGATTTACCATTGTATGTGAGGCCTGGCAGAAAGGTGGTGACTTACTAATATCCGAGAGATGCAGGGAGTTGCCAGTGCTGTCTGATAGTTTCTTTCAACACAGCTATCTCAAAACAGAAGCATGAAAACCTTTTGTGAGAAACCTTTTGTGAGAAAGGATGTTGGGTTTGCAGTGCGTAAGCATGGGGGCCTGGAAGGCTTCTCATGTTGCATGAGCTGCCACATGTCTGTTCAAAAGTTAGCCTTGCTTTTGTTGTTGGAGACTTATGCTGTTTAGTAAACATCTGGTAGAAGGTGGTTGCCTGCCCTTTGAGACATGTTCCATTATCCATTAGCCCTTGTGTATATGTTGAAGCTTCTTTAAGATCTCCTTGCGTGCGTGTGCTCCCACACATAATGTTATCTAATGCTCTCTTATGGGGCAGCTGCTCTTTTTCACTGTCAGTTTCCTGCAGCTTTGCCACATCTTGCAGGTAGTGGTGACCCCACACGGTGTCTGTTTCTATCATCTTTTGCAGGGATGCTAGTAAGACTGCCAGCAGCCCACCTACCTCCCCTCGGCCCGGCAGTGCTGCAGCTGTATCGGCCACAAGTAACGTCATCCCTCCCAGGCACCAAAAACCTGCCGGCGCCCCAGCCACCAAGAAGAAGCAGCAGCAGAAGAAGAAGAAGGGGGCTAAAGGAGGGTGGTAGAAAGCAGGATGTGTAACCTCCCTCCTTCAACAGGTGATGCTGGTTGCAGAATAAAGGTCAGAAGCAAGTGCTGGTGAAAGACTCATGGCTGTCAGGATCTCTGTCCTGCCTGTAGGTGGTCTGGAGGGACATGTGCTGGTACAGGCACCCAGTTATGTCTGCTCACCCAGTTGCCTTCCTGACACTTGCCCCCACCATGACTTACTGAACTCAGATGCAGCCACGAAGAAATCTGTCAGCATTGCCAAATGTTTAAAAGATGTGGAATAATCAAGAACTTCTTGATACATGGTTTTATGCTCCTCCTGCATATGTTAAGGCCTTTAACAGGTTTGTCTGACAGTGTCTCTATGTATGATGCAAGTACTGTCTTCTGCGTCTTATCCCAGTCAGTTGTTGACCACTGTTGTGGTTTATCCCCAGCCAGCATCTAAGTCCCACACAGCTGCTTGCTCACTCACTCCCAGTGGGATGGGGGAGAGAACTGAAAGGGGAAAAAAAGTGAGAAACCCATGGGTAAAAGATATAAAGACAGTTGAAGAGGTAAAGGAAAAGCTACTTGCACAAGAAAAGCAAAAAAAGGAATTCCTTCACTGCTTTCCATTGCAGGCAGGTGTTCAGCCATCCTTGGGAGAGCAGGGCTCCATCACGTGTAGAGGGTACTTGGGACAACAAACTATCACTCCAAATGTCCCCCCTTTCCTCCTCCTCCCAGCTTTATATGTGAGCATGATGTTGTGTGGTCAGGGTTATCCCTTTGATCAGCTGGGGTCAGCTGTCCTGGCTGTGCCCCCTCCCAGCTTCTTGTGCACCCCCAGCCTATGCACTGGTGCAGTGGTGTGAGAAGTAGAGAAGTGACTAAACACTGCTTAGGAATAACAAAAACATCTCTGCATTATTAACACTCTTTTCAGCACAAATCCAAAACACAGCCCCATACCAGCTACTATGAGGAAAATAACTATCCCAGCCAAAACCAGGACACCACCAAACAGCACAGGCATGAAGGATCTTGGAAAACAATATATGGGCTAGATTATCTGGAACTAGATAGTCTGAAGGGGGAGAACAAAGCTGTTGGGAGAAAGCATGAAGTGTATGGGAGCTGACTTGGTGTCCCCTTTTCTGTAAGCCAGTTGCTTTATTCTAGTGGCCTTGGCAAGACAAGTGAGGTAAAAGAAAGTGGCTGGTTGTGAAGATGTGTGTGTTCTAGCACCCACAAGCATCTCCTAACTTCTGGTTTGGTCTGAATATGGCAAAAACATTTTTCCACATGGACTTTCAGTGGGTAGAAACAGCACCTCAGGGAGAGTTGTCAGATGCCAATCCAAAAGGCAAAGGCTTGTGTCTCTGAATAGGTTTAAAGTAAAGGCCTGAAGAGGTGGGGAGCAAGGGAAATATTAGTGTGGTTTAAAGCCCCCCGCACTCCCCCTGAGTCCCCATGGAGCAAAAATCCAGGTCAAATCCATTACCTTGACTGCACGCCAGGAGCATCTGGAAGGGGGCTGGATGTTTGCTGTGCTCTGAGAACAGCAAGATAGAGATACCAGCGTTATGACCGGCTGGTAGGCACTTGCTCTCAGGTGTGTGTCGGGGTGATACACCTCTCAGCTGGCAGCTGGTGGCCGCAGGAGAGAGGCACTATCCTGCAGTGGTGCCATTTCTGGAAGGTGACTGGGAGAGGAGATCCTGGAGGATAATGCAACTCCGTGTTCTCTGGGTGTCTCCTCTGGTCCAACCTGGGGGGAACGGACGAGGTGGAAGCTTGTGGCACTGCGGGAGCCCTGACCAGGCTGCGGGTGCGGTGCCTCCGCTGCTTCCCCCGGGATGGGCGCCCAGGCAGAAGCCGCCTGGGAGCGAATCCGGTGTGTGGGGGGCGGGCGGCAGCAGCGGCGGGGAGAGCCTGCTTCCCTCTGCTGGCTGTGAGGCGCTTCCCTCGCTGCTGACACCGGTTACATTCCCAGCCT